ATTTTATTTTCATGCAAAGCATTCTGGTAAAATGATGACGTGGATAGGTCCTCGGTGTGAGTGAGCTATATCCACCCTGAAGGTTAATCTTGGACAATATCTGATGATTGACTCTTTTAAATGAAACCAGAGAGCGTTGACAGAGAGGAGAAGGTAGAAATGACTCATCCTGTAACTGAAAATATGGATGACGACAACAGAGCTTCTTCATTTAAGAAGAACCCCAGCTTAGCCTGTTAGCGTTCACGCTAGAACCGACGATATATTGCCTTAATGTATTTCTACCTTCTCCTCTCTGTCAACGCTCTCTGGTTTCATTTAAAAGAGTCAATCATCAGATATTGTCCAAGATTAACCTTCAGGGTGGATATAGCTCACTCACACCGAGGACCTATCCACGTCATCATTTACCCAGAATGCTTTGCATGTAAATAAAATGGCTCCGTCCGTGTAGTACATTTTTAAACTTTTAGTTTAAAAACGATAAAAACTGAACATCCTACAGTATTTTTACAGTCTTTATTTTACAGTTTAAATAAATGTTTATCAAATAAAGTCTAATGTTACAACTAATCATGGATCCTTTTAAAAAAAAACCTCAGCAACATGCAAGGCGAAAATAGGATAATAAAACTTATAAGTTATTATTAAATTTCAGGGGGTTTTATAAGATAAGATATATAAGGCCTGTTATGTGTTTCTGCTTTTATAAAATACAAAAACCCAACAAAATGTAACGTATTGTTTTGATTAGCCAGTTTGTTTACATGTAACGTTACACAGACGAACATTATCGCTTGAAACAAATCCAATTGAAGCTGGCTGTAGCAGCTGCTGCTGTATTTAAATTTTCCTACTTGCTAATTTATTAAGTATGCACAGGCATGGCTGATATGGATTTTTTGAAGTGAATGAATAAAATCAATCTGTCTGTATTTAGTGTTAAAATAAGGCAGGTTTTTGTGGAGAAAAACCCTCTGAGTTTTGCATACCTGTGACTCACTACACGTGTATATCGCTCGGTAAAAAAAGAAGAAGAAAAAAGATCGCTCAGTGTGCCCCACTTTGCTGTTTTTAAACAATCACAACTCTACGCCGGGGCGTCATTAGGCTCCTGAAGCGTGCGTTGAAGGAAAAGGTTYGTAAATCTAAGCRGAGGYTTGCGTCTGAAAAGAACAGCGCGGCAGGAATCCCACCAGCCGTGTTGAGACGTGAAGCTCGTCTGCAGCTCCTCGGGCTGAACAGCCAAACATCTCGCTCTGTTTTCTCGCTCACATGCAGGCTCCTGCCTGCAAATGGATTTCAGAATGATCCTGGGGCACACTCACTCGTTGGTTGCACATACACCGATGATGGTAATTACTACTGAATATTATTATTGTGGGTATTTTCTGATTTTTGCAGCTTGTGGGTTGGTTTGTTAGTCACTCGGATGGATCTTGGTGAGACGACGTAAACAAGTCTGACCTTGTGTGGATGCTGCGTTGGAGTAGGCCCGCTCTATCAGCCTTGCAGCTGTCTCTGAGGAAACACTTGAACTGAAGCGTAAATATGATGAAAGATAAAAACAATTAATAAAAAACCACTGTTATAATACTAAATGCTCTGATCTTTACCTTGAAATCAGCTCATCCATCACATCGTGCTCCGACTTGTCCTCACGTCCGCGTGTCCCCGAACTGAACTGCCTCTCAGAGATAAATGAAGCTGTCTGAACTGAACTTCAGTCCCAGCAGGACTCGGCAGAACAAAATGCTGTCGCGAGGACTGAAACATGCAGAACAACATGCCTTTTGGTTTTTAAGGGAGTAACTCTTGTTAAGAAGTCTGCGGTGTAAAGGCCAGCCTTTTAATAGTTCTCCGAGGAGATATTTTACCCTCCAACCTTAGGTGAAACCGTACATTTTGGTTTGGCTCTCCGTGTCACCAACCGTGACCCGCTGCAGCTCAGACCTGAATTACGTTGCTTGATGTAATGGCAGCCTGGAATTGTCTTTTATTTTCTGTTATTACTCTTTTGTTTTCAGCTATTTGCCTTACGAGTGCACGTTAAGCTGCAGTCGTTAGAAAACGCAGAGCAGAACTCACAGTTTCAGCTCGACTGGCTTTTATGGTTCTGGGAGAGAACTGCAGACCTGTATGTGTGTGTAAGCCTCTCTAATGCCTGCTTTAGATGGGTGCAATGTGGATGTCGGGCCGCGGTTTTATTCAGCAGAACAGAAGCGCTCCTGTTTAAGGTCTACCACCCCTCCCTTTCAGGTTTTTTCTTTTTTTTTCACATCTCCACGTCTCTCCAGGCTTTTAATCATCTTCGTTCCAGTCCTGAAAACAGAGAAGCAGACAGTCAACAGCAAACAGTCCATACAGCGTAGAGCTCACATTTTAGGCATCAGGGCATGGTTGAAGCCTGTGTGGCTCGCTGCATGTCTTGAGTGTGTTGGTGAAGCTTCCACAACTTGTTAAGCAGATGAAACCCTGGACCTGGGACAGGATGGGAGGTAAAACACTTGTTGCCTGGTGAGAGTAAATATTATGATGCAGTGGACCGGGGTTTGTTCTGTCAGAGAGAGCAGACAGCGTCCTCCACCACAAGCAGCAGGTTCAGGTTTGATCTGCTGCTGCAACAACATGCTGAAAAGTACGAATACCACAAGAGGATAGCAGCTTTTCTAATTTGTACTMGTCATACCTTTTTCTGGACCTTCTTTTTCCAAGTATAAATTAGGGGTGCACCGATTGCAGTTTTCTTGCTGATCTCAGATCTTTAAAAAGTCTGACCTGCTGATACAAGTTTTGGCCAAAACCTATTTATTTTTTAACTGACACTATCAGGAGTTAGTATACAGTGACAATACACCTTCAGTGTTCCAATCTTATTTTATTGAAAAATGTTGAATAATACCCTTGAAACAATTCAAACCTTTTAACAAAAATGAATCATTTTCTGCCCAAAACACGCACTCTTCTAAACATTTCCCCTCTGCAGCTCATGACCATTTTGCAGTGAAAATATTTCAGCTTGTCAAATGTTTGTGGTTTAATTTTCACGGTGTACTTAGAGAGTAGCGTTGCTGTATGAGTATGTTTATCATGATAGCAAATTTTGCTGGACAATGCATTGTCTCAGAAATTATCAAGATTAATATCATTCAGGGACCATTTTWAACAAATATTAWAATAATTCCCRCACCACTCTCCCCCGCAWACAAAGCTTACAGAAGTTTACAAAATTTATGTATGTAAAACAATACAAACTGACCTGGATGAGAAAACAACACAAAAACGTCTACTGAAATTGTAGCATCGCTACCTACCTCCTATTTCCAAGCTATTTCAGTTTATTCTCYATGTGTCATCCTCTGRCTTCATAAAATAATTGCGGTCGTCCTCACACTGCTTATGAAGTTTACACAAGTTTAAAGGGCCAATATTATGTGTTTCTCAGGCATATATTTAAATACTATACCATAATAAAGTATCTATGCCACCTTTAGC